ATTTTCCCCTCCCCTCCCCTCCCCTCCCCTCCTCTCCTCTTCTTTCTCCCAGTTCACTGGTCTTTGGCCTAAAGTCCAAGCATAGAATGTTCTTTGCCTGTGGGGTTCAAGGCTCCCTGCCAAGCTGGCCTCATGCAAGGAAGCAAGATCCAAGTAAGGGGACTGTGAGTTCATCTAGTGGAGCTGGAGGCAGAGCTCTGTAGCAGAATGCATTCAAGGTCCTAGTTCTATCTGAGCACTACTAGTAAAAACAAACAAACAAAAGAAAATGTTTACATCCCAGGGAAAATGCTCTTCACACCCACCATTGTCTGAATTGAAAATGAACATGAGTTGAGGTTGGGGATAGGGACAGTGCCAGTTCTTAATCCCAGGACCTAGCGCAGGCTAGGAAACTGTTCTAACTCAGCCATATACCAAGCCTCTGGCTGTTAACTTAATTCAGAATATTATCACTGATGAACACGTTTCTAAAACTGACTGCCCCTCCCCAAGGAGATCAATAGCATCAACGAATGAGGGAGAGGTGGCAGCATGAAAAAGTAACCTTCAGACACCCAGAGGGGCCACCAATGAGATAGCTTCCCACCCCTTGGAGGTCAGGGTGCTCATATAAAAAGCACTGTCTGATTAGCAGGCTTCCCAGGAGTCATTACAGCCCAGGTGTGGATGGCAGTGTTTCCTTTGTCTTCTATCTTAAAGATATTTTGAAAAAAAAAAAAAACTTCACTGGTAAGTTGACTGAAGATGTCTCATGCCATGTTTTATTAGCTCTTTCCTCTTCCTAGAAACTACCTCCTGTCTTGCTGCACACCTTGCTGCTCCAATTGGGGGTTGGGGAAATACACCCACCTGTCTATTCTGATCCTAGACTGGCATACCTCAGGGAGGTTTCAGTTTGTTCCCAGATTGCTGTGATAAAATTAATCCTATAATAAAACAAGTAACATTTTTGTCTTCTCAGTGCATATAAAACTTAGAATTTACTGTGTTCAGAAATGCTATTGTGTGTACCTTAACTTAAAAAAATATTTTATTGCTCAAAGTTCTAAATACTATCTAAGATATTGGAAACATGGTGCAGATAGAACCGTTCAATGCAGGATTGCTGTTAACCTATGATTTGTGAAAACTATATCTGCACAGTGCCACACCTCAAGGTGTGCCTGCCATCTGTTCTGAATTTGCTCCATGTAACTGCCTTGTATTTGTCCTGTTTCTTTCAGTCCTTTTCCTAGGACCATGTCTTCCATCAAAATTGAATGTGTTTTACGGGAGAACTACAGGTGTGGGGAGTCCCCCGTATGGGAGGAAGCTTCCAACTCTCTACTGTTTGTAGACATCCCATCAAAGAATATTTGTCGATGGGATTCCATCAGCAAGCGAGTGCAGCGAGTCGCTGTGGGTAAGTACGGAAGCCGAGCTCCTTTCCTTGCAGTGAGCCATCTTTTCCCAGTGGAGAGGATAATGTCACCCTGTTTGTCATTGCCCTGGATCCTTCTTGTTAAAGCCCAACTGATGCTTCGAAACCATTTGAGTAGTCATGTTGGCTATGACTATGATTCCATGGGTGACTCACTTGAACCCAAATTGGCAATGATGAATCTCCGACGCTTTTCTCCTCCGCTTGTGTGGGTCACAGCATTCCTAGCTTTCTTTGTTTTGGTTTGTGATGCTGGCCCTCAGGCAATCTCATACTCATTGTACCACATTATTGTTTTGATACTTAGGTATTATACTGTCTCTTTCCTGATCGACTTCAGATAATAGCATCCAGAGCCAAAGACTCCATTAGTGGCACAGCAGAAGCCATCTATCCTAGTTAGGCCAAAACCACCATTTAAAAAAACAAAACCAAAAAAACAACAGATGTAAGATGTATCTATCACTCACTTCTTTGTGAAAGAGTTCTTAGGCTTCAAAAGCATCAACCAGGACTGTGTTCACTGTGCAACCGTGGGATTTCTGACAGGACTCCCAAGACAGCTTTGTGGTTTAAGATAAGGAGTTTCTAGGGCTTTTTTATGGCTCAAAGCAATGGGCTGGGTGTGATTATCAGCAGACAAACAAGTTTCTGGTTTTATTATTGGATCCATGGGAAGAGATACCAGGATTTTCCCAAAATTACAGGAATTTCTGGTTTCTGGTATCTTCCCATAAATCCAACTGAGAACTTAAAGCTTGTTTTTCCTGTGGTGTTGGGGATTGAATCCAGAGGCTTGTACATACCACAAACTCCATTCCCAGACTAAACGTAGCTTTGTTTAAAAAAATTGATTTTGTCTGTGTGGGAGCACTGGTCCCATGGCACATATGTTGAGGTCAGAGGACAACTAGCAGGAGGTCGCTCTTTCTTTCCACCATGTGTGGAAGTCAGAGGACAATTTTAGGAGCCTTTCTTTCAACTATGAGCTTTGGGGATTGAACTCAGGCCATCGGGTTGGTGAGCCATCTGTTTTCTTGATAAGGCAAGTACTTCCTATATAGCTACTAAGGTTGATGTGGAACTCACAGATTCTTCCATTTCTCAAATGCTACTAGGAACAGCATCTAATTTACCTATCAATGTGTTTATAGCTTCAAGGAAAATGTTTATGCCTCTGGCCTCCTTGGTCCCTCATTCCCAGCATTCACAAAATTCCTACCCCTAATCTGCAAAGCTTCCTGCTCATAAAAAGGGTTTGTGTGTTAGCAGGAATTCAGGAGGCTAAGCTATCAGGAGATATCTCAGGCCATAGTTAGGATCCTTGTTAAAAAGGTCCTTTATATGGTCTTGCATATTCCCAGGGTTCCCAAAGACTTGAGTCAACTTCTGAGCAGGGCTTTGTGCTTAAGAGTATTTAGCATTAATGAGGTGCTTAGGAAATGTTTCTAAACAAATTCCGATAGATGAATTTCCTGTGACTACTGACCACGGTAATCTCTTTCCACTTAAAAAGAATATTTTTAAATACATGGAAAAGTATTAAAACCAGATAAACTATTAAAGTAAAAGATATAGTAATATTATAAAGAGATAGAAAGATTGTTCTTCATTGCAGTCCAGTTGCATTATTTTTTTTTATATTTAAAGATTTATTTATTTATTATATATGAATACACTGTAGCTGTCTTCAGACACACCAGAAGAGGGCATCAGATCTCATTACAGATGGTTGTGAGCCACCATGTGGTTGCTGGGATTTGAACTCAGGACCTCTGGAAGTGCAGTCAGTGCTCTTAACTACTGAGCCATCTCTCCAGCCCCAGTTGCATTATTTTAACCATGCATACTTTCACAAAATATTTGAGAAATGAGAAACAATTTATAATTAAATATATTAAAATAAGGGCCTTTTGAAAATGGTATTAATTAGATATGGTAGTGTACACCTATACTACCAGCACTCAGAAGGTGGAGGCAAAAGGCAAGAGAACTCTCAGCTACATGATCAGACACCTTCTTGGTACCATTAAAATGACCTCTGTGCTGCGGGGCCATCAGAGCTTACCTGTTGACTTTGCCTCTGCAGATGCCCCAGTCAGTTCAGTGGCACTTCGACAGTTGGGTGGCTATGTTGCCACCATTGGAACCAAGTTCTGTGCTTTGAACTGGGAAGATCAATCAGTATTTGTCCTAGCCACAGTGGATGAAGATAAGAAAAACAATCGATTCAATGACGGGAAGGTGGATCCTGCTGGGAGATACTTTGCTGGTATGATTTCTTATTTTACCCCTACTTGCTGTCTTTGAATCTTACTTTGTGTGTATCACTGTGTGTGTGTGTGTGTGTGTGTGTGTGTGTGTGTGTGTGTGTGTGTTGGTGTGGGATGGAACAAAAAACTATATATACTAGACAAGTGCTCTATCACAAAAAGTAATACTATATAATGAACACTTCATCTCTATATATTCCCATACCTAGAGCTACTCATAAACATTTTGTTCTTGTTTTATTTATTTATTTATTTATTTATTTATTTATTTTGGTTTTTCTAGACAGGGTCTCTCTGTATAGCCCTGGCTGTCCTGGAACTCACTCTGTAGACCAGGCTGGCCTCGAACTCAGAAATCCGCCTGCCTCTGCCTCCCAAGTGCTGGGATTTAAAGGCGTGCACCACCACCGCCTGGCTTGTAATCTATTTTCCTCTTCTTTCAAATGAAGTATGAAATAGTAGCTTTCTGGTTTCTTCATTGTAATCAGAGTCTGCTCTGGCTTCTGAGATCACATGACATCCAAGTCTATCTCCATCAATACTGAAAAGAATAATGTCTTCAGTGAATGGCACACTTGAGAAGGATACATACTCTGCTGTTGTTGGGCAAACATTTTGTAAGCATCAATAACACTCAGCTTTCAGTTCATCTATGCATTTGCCAACATCCTGTCTATTTCTGTCTACTACTGAAAGAAGGAAATTGATTGTTCCCAATGTAATTCAATATTTTTCTACCTCTTTTCGGTTATGACAAATTTTGCTTTGTGTATTTTCTAGCTCTACTAGTAAACATACACATTTAGAATTGCTATGTATTGTTAGTGAATTGGCTGCTTTAAATCTGTAACTACCCTCTTTGCCATATGTAATGTGCCATTTTTCCTTCATTGTTTTCAAGCATCTTTATTTGACTTTGGTTTTCAGCAATTTGATCACAGTATGTTAGGTATGGGTTTCTTTCTGTTTGTTGTGTTTTACATTTGCTCGGCTTCTTAAATATACTGAAAGCTTTTATACTTTTCTCCATTCTTGGCAGTTTTCAGCCATATAATCTTCGAAAACCTTTGGCCTTGCACCCTTTTTCTCTAGGAACTCAACAAGGTATTAGCCCTTTGGCTGTCCCATGGCTACAGCTCTGTTCCTTTTTCTTCCAAGGTGTTTTCAGTTTTTCTCTTTGCCTGACTTCTATTGCTCTAACATTGGCTACTCTACTCTGATGCTTTGTTCTTGCCGATACTCTTCGGCTAGTGAACTACTTCAATGCAATGTCTATTTTTTTTGGTTATTCTTCTCATCTTTTACAACTTTGGTAATGTTGTCTATTTGAAATTTCATTTCATGACTACTTATTTTTTTCTGTAAAATTTGCATTAGTCTTTACCAAAACCTTCCAACATCTGTGCCATATAATTTTCAGAATCTGTTGATTTCCTACACTGATGGAATCATCCATCATTCCCTGTGCTGCTGAATTTATTAGTCATACTTCTGTCACAATAATGAGATAAATGAGACAATTAACTTATGAAGGGAGAAAAGGTTATTCTGATACATGTTTTTAAAGGTTCTAGTCCATGATCAAATAATCCGATCGCTTTGGGCCACTGGTGAGGCAACACATAACGTTAAGAATGTGTGGTAGAAACAGTGTCAACTAACTAGACCCCTTAGAACTCCCAGAGACTGAGCCACCAACCAAAGAACGGGCTGGTCTGAGGCCCCTGACATATGTGTAACAGAGGATTGCCCTGTCTGGCCTAAGTTGGAGAGAGTGCACTTAATCTTGATGTCCCAGGGTAGGGGATGCAGGGGGCACCCTCTCAGAGACAAAGAGGAGGGAGAGTGAGATGAAGAACTGTGGGAGAGGGAACCAGGAGGAGGGGTAATGTCTGGAATGTAAATAAATAAAATTACTTATTAATTATTTAATTACTTAATTATAATTAACCATATTGTATTAATTAAATTTATTGATGTAATTAATAATTAGTATTAAATAATCAAAGTAGAAATAAAAACAAATGTAAGGAAACAACAACAAAGGAATGTGTGATAGAGCAAACTGCACACCTTGCGAGCCAGCGAGCAAATGATGACAACACTGGCCAGTGTTCCACAATCCCTTTAAAGGTCATTCCCCCAATGGCGTGAAAACTTCAAATAGGCTCCACCCCCTAAAGAGCCACTGCATCCCAGGGTGCCAAGCCTTTAACATATGGATTTTTGAAGATATTCAACACCAAATTATAATACCAAATAATCCTAGACATTATGAATGTTACATTATGAGACCCTGAACATTGCTTAAATAATTTAGAACATGTTATAGTTATTTCAGGAAGCAACATATGTGTTTGGAGGAAGGCCAGTCATTCTAACCTGCTTTGTGTTAGGTACAAGGAAGATTTGTCCCATATGTGTGCCTGTCAGCTAATTTGGGGCAGGAAAGTTCTACCCATTAGCTCCATTTCCAAAACCTTTGGAATGCTCATTACAATCTGATCTATTTGATACAGGCTGAGGATGAGCCTAGGAGTTCTTTTTTTTTTTTTTGGGACAGGGTTTCTCTGTATAGCCCTGGCTATCCTAGAACTCACTCTGTAGACCAGGCTAGCCTCGAACTCTCGAATTCAGAAATCCGCCTGCCTCTGCCTCCCAAGTGCTGGGATTTAAAGGCGTGCGCCACCACCGCCCGGCTGAGCCTAGGAGTTCATACATTTATTTATTTATTTATTTATTTATTTATTTATTTATTTTTATTTCATGTGCATTGGTGTTTTGCCTACATGTATGTCTGAGTGTGAAGGTGTCAAATCTTGGAGTTACAGACAGTTGTGAACTGCCATCTGCTTGCTGGGAACTGAACTCAGGACCTCTGGAAGAGTTCCCAACTACTGAGCCATCTCTCCAGCCTTCATCAATATCTTTTGAGGGGTTACATTTTTACATATCGAGGACTGTCCTCAATCTCCTCATCTTCCTCCTTCAGTCTTCAGAGTGCTAGGATTACAGGTGACCATCACACTTGGCTTATAGTGTGCATTTTATTCAAATGTTATACTTGTGCTTAGTTGGAGAAAATGAGGTTAATACATGTTTACTACTTATTTGAAACTATATCTCTAAATTGCTAGTGTGTGTGTGTGTGTGTGTGTGTGTGTGTGTGTGTGTGTACTTGAGACAGAGTGTTGTTATGTAGCCTAACTGGGCCTCAAAGTCATGAAGCTGTTTCAAATTCACCATCCTATCTCATAATCTGAAGTATTGGTTTCATAAATGTGTGTCACCACACCAAGCCTTTGGACAGATTTTCATTTGCATTAATAAGAAAGATAGTTGCCATCTTTAAAATACATCTAGGAGATTGTTTAAATTTGAGATTGTATAAAATTCTCTTGACTTAAATACCGAAAATGATCATTCGTGAGGAAGGATGGAGTTGTGTGCAGGGTGAAAATCTGCAGGACTGAGCTAATGGGGTTTTTTGTTGTTGTTGTTTCCCAAAGGCACCATGGCTGAGGAAACGGCCCCAGCCATTCTTGAGCGGCACCAAGGGTCCTTTTACTCCCTCTTTCCTGATCACAGTGTGAAGAAATACTTTGACCAAGTGGACATCTCCAATGGTTTGGATTGGTCCCTGGACCATAAAATCTTCTACTACATTGACAGCCTGTCTTACACTGTGGATGCCTTTGACTATGACCTACAAACAGGACAGATTTGTATGAACATCTTAATTATTTTTCATATCACTCATATTTTTGTATCTCCTTCAGCCATGTGAAAACGTCATTATTTGTCAAGTAGAGGACTCCCCAATATAGTGGTGATAGCACAAACGTCACTGAGCTGCCAGTGACTGTGGTCCTCAATACATCTCCAGTCTGGTATTTGAGACTGACCCTGTAGCTGCACTAGACAGTGCAGATAAGCCTTGAATTTTCCTTTCTATCACTAAAAAGGGCCTCCCTAGAGAATGAATCCTGCCCTATCAGACAGTGCCAAGAGGCACAAAATTTACAGCAGAATGTGATAAAAGAGGGAGGACTGAAACTTTTGGTTCTTGAGTCTTATTTGATCTTTGGTTAACCATAGGCAAGTAGTCAGGGGCAAATGAACAACCTTTGAAATGGAAAAATAACAGAAAACTGCTTCCAGGTTGGTTCAGTTCCATCAATGTTCTGTAAAATGAGCCATCACTGGAAACTTCAAGGAAACAAATTATTTAGAAGAATTTAGAAGGGAGACCTTGAAACTGATGAAAAGTGCCAGACAGTAAGAGCAAAACCAATAATAAAAAAGACTTGAAAAAATTCACAAGACAAACTATTCTAGTACAGATGCTTTTCTTTGAAGTATGGAGTGCTCTTTTTATGACTATTCTTACCCAATTTCCTTACACACGGCTTTAACATTTTTCCATTATATTTCAATCTGATTCCTGGAATGACCTGAATTTTGTAGCTGGATGCTCTTCTGCACTGTTTTTGAGGTGCTGGGGATCAAACTCATTTCTTTGTGTGTGCACTGAGATGCAATTCCAGTTCTCTCCTCCATTGTGGATGGTCCCCTCCTGTGGACTTTTAGAATGCCTTTCCTTTAAGAAGCAATTTTTTTAAATAGTTTTTTTTCTTAATTTTTATAGAAAGTAAGAAAAAACGCCGGGCGGTGGTGGCACATGCCTTTAATCCCAGCACTTGGGAGGCAGAGACAGGCAGACTCCTGACTTTGAGGCCAGCCTGGTCTACAGAGTGAGTTCCAGGACAGCCAGGGTTATACAGAGAAACCCTGTCTCGAAAATAAAAACCAAAAAAAAAAAAGAAGAAAGTAAGAAAAAGAATATGAGTCTTCTAAGGTTTTATGCATACATTGTTCATATAGTACCATTTAACTGCAGTATAGATCTTAGACTTGATCAAAGTAGAAGTTTGAAGAACTAAGATAGTGATCTAATCACAGACTGAAGAATATCTGAGATGGGTTTGCCAAGTCTTAGTTGAGGTTGGCCTTAAAGAGCTACCTATTGACTCTATGGTGGCCAATACTTCAAGGCTAATTCTAACACTGAAGCAGGAGGATTACTTTAAGACTCTGAAGACCACTTGGGCTACACAAAGAATGCTACAGCCTTTGATGTAATATAAGACTTTGTCTCTAAATAAATCATTCAGCTTTATTTGACTTAGGAGGAGAAGACTTGTCGAGCATACATAAGGTTCTGAATTCTATCCCCAGAACTGCTACAAAAAAAAGAAGAAGAAGAAGAAAAAGAAAGAAAGGAAAAAAGACAAAAGAAAGAACAAAAAGGAAAAGAAAGCATTTAAATCTTTATAAAGACAAAAGGGAGTGAATGTATTCCAAATCATGTATTTAAAATCCTTTGTTAAGTGACCAGTATTTATAACCAGCTTGAGAGCTCACTGTTTGTCCGTCAGCATTGTGTGACCCACTGTTTGCTCATGTTTTGGTTTTGTTTTTCAACCACAGCCAACCGCAGAATTGTTTACAAGATGGAAAAAGATGAACAAATCCCAGATGGAATGTGCATTGATGCTGAGGGAAAGCTTTGGGTGGCCTGTTACAATGGAGGAAGAGTAATTCGCCTAGATCCTGAGACAGGTAGGCTGGAGGCAAAATAGAAAATCCTACCCACTCCAGAAAACACCAGCGCTAGACGCCATTACTAATACAGTTAGAGAGATAGTAGTGGTCTTAACTGAATGATTTTGGAAATAAAAACAAAAGCTATAGCCCTAAATTTATCGTTAAAACATCTTCTCCCATGGAAGTAAGCTTCTCTGCCAAAACTCAATTGTCAGAAAAGGCACGTTAAGTTAAATAAATACATAGATGGAAGCCAGGTAATATGGTGGCTTATGAACCTAAGTGTAAGGAAGCTAAAACTAGAGAACGGTGAGTTTAAGACAGCCTAGGCTACATAGTGAATACTAAGCCATGTTGGGTTCAGCGTACATTAATTCCCTTCAAGGGTTGAGTTTTGACTTCCATAGTCTCTTAAACCATCCCCATCATCCATGAATGGTCCACAAGCATTATTTATGTTGGAAATTTCTAGAACTAAATTTTTAATAATATATTTGGTGACCTAGGGAAAAGACTGCAAACTGTGAAGTTGCCTGTTGATAAAACAACTTCATGCTGCTTTGGAGGGAAGGATTACTCTGAAATGTACGTGACCTGTGCCAGGGATGGGTTGAGTGCTGAAGGCCTTTTGAGGCAGCCTGATGCTGGGAACATTTTCAAGGTGAGGTGGTCTTTTTTTCTGTGGGGGGAGGCACTGTGGAGGATATTCTGTGGGGGGGCACTATGGGGAGTATTCTGTGTGTGTGTAGGGGGCACTGTAGAGGGTATTCTGTGTGTGTAAGGGGATACGGTGGAGGGTATTTGGGGGGGCACTGTGGAGGGTATTCTGTTAAAAATAATTGAATGGTGCTTTTGCAAACATCCAAAAATTATTTCCATTTATCATGTTACGCTTATCACACTAGACTTAATTATTTCAGTTTTCTCAAATATACATTATATAAAGTTCAGGATGGTGTGTCTGGCTTATTTCCAGTATTTTAAAGTCTTTTCATGTTTCAATAGTATTTGTAAAATCACTTGATTGTTTTGATGTCCCAAAGAGATGTGCAGGTTTTTCACATTTTTTTTGTGACAACAAACACTGATTTTTAAAAAAAACCATACACATTTTGAGGGCTGAGAGATGGCTCAGTGGTTAAGAGCACTGACTGCTCTTCCAGAGGTCCTGGGTTCAATTCCCAGCAACAACATGGTGACTCACAATCATCTGTAGTGGGATCTGATGCCCTCTTCTGGTCTGAATGCAGTATACTCACATACATAAAATCTATGAATCTTTTTTTAAAAAGTAGAAAAATAGAAACCACCTTTCTTGGCAGATGAGAAAATGATAGAAATAAATTGTTTTCTATCAATGTGCATGCTTGCTCATTGGTCCAGAATAGATTTGAATGACTGCTTGAATCATATAATAGCTTGTCAGCTAATTCTTTTTCATGATAGAAAATAAAACCGGGGTTGTTAAAGGTAGTTAGATATATTATTATAAATCATAACTTGTTTGGTGTTTGTTTGTGTCTAGTGAGGTCTTACTATGTAGCCCAGGCTGGCCTTGCACTCACAGCAGTCTTCCTGCCTCAGCCTCACAAGTGCTGGGATACAAGTATGAGCCACCAAGCCTGGTTTTGTAATGATTATTTTGAAGTCTATTTTATAATTTATCAGTTCCACTCTTTTTTTTCCAACAGATAACAGGTCTTGGAGTCAAAGGAATTGCCCCATATTCCTATGCAGGGTGAACTACAGCTCTTCCTTGCTATCAGAAGAAAAAGCTTTGAAGATAACTGAAGAATTAAGGGACTGAAATCAATGAACTTTCAATCTAGTTTTTTAATGATGTGTTGATATTTTAGCATGGTTAAGCTTTAATTTACACTTTTGATTGGGTACTGAGGAGTAAACCTAGGGCATAGCATATTAATGAAGAACATATAGCAACAGTGAACTCCATCCCTGGATTCCTCTATTTACAGTTTTTGAAAGGTCAAAGACTTCCCCCAGAGAATGACAAGTGGTTTTGACAACATACTCTAGGGCTTCTATTAAAAATAATCCTGTAGAAATGCAAAAAGAAGTTTAACTATCAATCAGCCTGATGATTGCAAATTGCTCTGGGGCTTGAAATGGGACTGTGTCCATTCTTTTTCTGCGTTCCATAATTGCTATGCATAAGGCTTCCAAAAATCGGCGCATAGAAACTTAGCGATAATTTATAATGATTATGTGACTCTTCGTGTGTATTATTTTACAAACTAAAATACTGCCAAAAGATGTTAGTCAAACACTGGGGCACAATCTGTGGTTCTAACTGCCACCTAGTGGCCATACAAATAAATGCATCATATTGCAAAGAATTTCATTTCCATTGTTTCATTTTTACATTTATTCTCTCTTTTTCTCTCTCCTGCCCTCTTTCATTCTCTCCCTCTCTCTTTCCCTTCCTTTTTCCCTCCCTCCCTCTTTCTTTGTGTGTGTATAAATTGATCAGAGAACAACTTATGGGACTCATAGTTTGAAGGGATTGAACTCAAGTGATACCTTTATTGGCTAAGCCATTTTACTTGCTGCTGCTGCTGCTGCTGCTGCTGCTGCTGCTGCTGCTGCTGCTGCTGCT